ACACATAAGAGCTGAAAAATGAGGCACATGCTTAGATGTATTGGGAATGAGATGGGACTGTAACATTGTCACAACAGTACACAAATACTGCGAGTGACTTATAGAGTAATGGTCCCCATCTGTTGTGACCTCAGGTGAGACCAGGAGGCCTGTGTTTTAGCAAACCCTGGGCAATGGAATGAAGGGCTCCTAAGATTCCATGACACGCCCAGCTTCTAATTCTGTTATTGCAAGAGCAGACCATTACCTGGGGCACTGCCCACTATCTCCCACACTCTTGTCAGAGTCTGAGATGCAGACAGCACCTTCAGTTCTCAGCTCAAGCATTGCAAACCTTGTTTTTGCAGTTCAGGACCCTAAAGTGCTGTGAGGAGGGATCAGGTTTTTCTCAACAGTAAGTTAAGAATTTGAGTTACTGACATCCCCTGGTCCTGATTAAAACTATTTGATTTCCAGTTTTTAACCCATCATGTGTTTGGGTTTCTTTTCCCCAGTCCCTGGCTCTCCCTGTGGTGCCCCAAATGTCAGTATGGTGGGATCCTGCAGGACGTGTTCCAGGAAGACGACAGAGATGAACTTTCCAAATACCATCGAGAATTCCTACTACCAGCAGGAAGAGACCAAACTGAATATCAGAGCCAGCAAAAATAGACTTCTTATGAGCCAGGTGGCCTACTTCCTGAACTACCAGCTGAAGACATACAGTAAGTTCTATATGTTGACCACCATGAAAGTGATGAATGATGTCCTGTCTTGTCTCGAGAAACTAACCGTTCTCTTCATCAAAATTAGTTTCATCCTTCCCATACTTGTAGAAAATAGCAATGGGTATGTTAACATTTAGTTAAAGATGGAAGACAGTGGCAAAAGTATTTAGCAACTTTTCCACGTCTTCAGTAATGTGGGTGTGGGACTGGGGTTACAATCCCAGCTATTGACTTCTCACACAGGCACAGAACCGTCTGTTTTGCTCAGCAAAAGGCTAAATCATGTTTACAGGAATCCTCTCTGTACCACCTAAGATCCTGCAGACAAGTAGTATCTAGACTGTTGGCCTAAATGTCTGATGCTACTGAACTTCCATTCGGTTCTGGTTTCTGCTAAGGCCCAGTAGGCAAAGCTGTGTTCTGGGGGCACTGGGGGAAACACGGTGATAGCACACAGTACCCACTGTGAGGAGCTGGAAGGGGACCCTGTTCCTAATAGAACCTTTGGTATCCGTAAGTGACACCATCAAGAGCAGGGAGTACCCTGGTACTGGTGCCTCAACTCCCCAATTAGCTGGCATCCCTTGTGGGCACCACCACGCCTGGCTAATTTTTGTATATTTAGTAGAGGCGCAATTTCACCATGTTGGCCAGGCTGGTCTTGAGCTCCTGAGATCAAGTGATCTCCTGCTTAAGCCTCCTAAGGTGCTGGGATTCCAGGCATGAGCCACCATGCCTGCTCCACAGATTCTTTTTTCAGTAAAGGTTGTTAGAATTCATCCCTTGGTCCAGGCTCCTATATGAATTTCTCTAACAATTGATTGGCAATGATATATGATTAGATAAATCAGTATTGCAGCAACCCTTCTGGAAAGTAGGGCAATTTTTGAGGATTTTGGGAAAAAGTTTTAATTTTTTGCACTGACTTAGGTCAGAGGATGTGATTAAGATCTACCGGATGAGGAAGATTTTGCCCCATAGTTCTGAAAAGCAGGCTCACATACTTCTAGGGCGACTTAATCTACGGACCATTAGAACGTTCCCATCAGAATACCACATTCTTACACTGAGAATATTTTACGTCCTTGTGCTATGATCGAACACTGATTTGGTCTTGTGTGAAGTGTGATTTTCTTAATGTGACCTCCTCTTCTGAATTTGTTTATAGACGATCGAAAAGATCATGATGAAGAACAGAAATGCAGAGACAACAAAAATAAACTTCTTATGAGTCAAGTGGCCTACTACCTGGGCTGCCGGCTGAAGACGGAAGGTAAGTTCTATAGGTTCACTGTCACGAAAGTGCTGAACAATGTCCTGTCTCCTTTCTGAGAAATGATACACTCTCTTCTTCAAACTTAATTTCATCCTTCCCATACTTCTAGGAATATTGCAATGGGTATTTTAGCATTTTGTTAAAGATGGAAGACAGAGGCCAAAGTGTTTAGCAACTTTTGCACGTCTGCAGTAAGGCGGGTGTGGGACTAGTGTTAATATCCCAGCAAATGATCCCGACACAAGCACAGAACCACCTGTATTTCTCAGCAAGAGGCTAAATCATGTTTGCAGGAATCCTCTCTGTACCATATAAGATCCTGCAGAATTTATAAGCAAGATAAAGGTAGAAGTGTTTATTTCCAGGTTTCAAGGTGACTGAGTAGCTAAGACAAGTTGACTTTAAGGACATCAAGAGAGGAGGTAAGAAGAGTAAAAGCGGGAAAACAACATCTTCAAATCATAGGCAAGGCTGTCGGTGACATCGCTAAGTCCCGATTAAACCAATTTGACATCACCATTTTCTAACCCATCATGTGTTTGGGTTTCTTCTCCCCAGTCCCTGGCTATCTGTGTTCTGCCCCAAACTTCAGCATGGTGGCATCTGGCAGGCCTCCTTCCAGAAAAAACACAGA